ACAAAGTAACCAATAGAAGATAGGTAATATTATGAAGACCACTGCATCCCTCAAAAGAATAAAATTTTGTTAAAATAAAAAGAACAAGCAATACTGAGCTTTATAGAAGTCACTGCCATTTTTAAGTCATCAATAAAAAGTTTGTTATAAACCATTTAGAAATAGATATACCAAAAACAGTGGATAATAGTAAAACTTGCCTAAAAAGTACTTTATGCAGCTGTTTACTATAGCATTCCTTATGGCAAATATGCAAACTAAAAAATAAGCTGGATTCAGAGATTTTTTTTTTTAGATGTTACATCACTGCTAAATCAAAATTTAACTTAAGTGCTAAGCATTAAGTTGACAAAAATCTTACTTTAATTCCAAAACTAAACTTTAATTCTGTTAAGTAAGGTAAATGTTTTAATTAGAGATCTAACCATGAAGTTACTAACTGATCATGACTCCCTGGAATGAAAAACAAGACTCGTGAAACGTAACTACTACTTCTAATGGTCTACAATGAAGAGCCATCTCTTAACTTAAAAATCTTCCAAATAAAATAAGCAAAGGAAAATTCATGATCTGGATGTCCATATCTTAAAAACCTGGTTCTTGGCCTTGAAATTTTGTAGTCTTACTGTATTGAAATTATGTAGTCTTATTTCTATGAGACTTCAAAGATACTCCAAGTCATAAGATGCATTCACATCTGACTCAGGCTTCAAGGAGACAAAACCAAATACAAATAAGCTTATATTTGAACTGCAACTATAACTTAAATTTTTCTTTAAGATTTTGTTTTTAATAATCTCTGTACCCAATGTAGGGCTGGAATTCACAACCCTAAGTTCACGAGTCCCAGGATCCATTCCATTGACTGAGCCAGTCAGGCAATTCATCCATTAGATTTCTTAAGTGAAATGGTTCCTGTTTATATCTGCAGAGACTGGACCAAACACCAAATCTGGTTATAAAGGACACTCTCTTAGCAGGAATATACCCTTCTCTGGAATACTGAATACAATGATCATCAGATCACATCAGATTTTCCTTAGTTTGACTATGATTGTTAGCTAACATTCCACAATTGTACAGATAGGAGAGCTGCTTCTTCTCTCTTTTTAAAATATTTATTTGAGAGAGAGAGAGAGAGAGAGCACCCACGTGCTTGTGTGCAAGGTGCTCACCTGGGCGGGCAAGGGTCATAGGGAGAGAATCTTCAAGCAGACTTCCCACTGAGCCTGAGGCAGGGCTCACTCTCCAGACCCACGAGATCGTGACCTGAGCCAAAAACAACCACCCAGGCACCCTCGCTTCTTCTTTTAATTTTCACTCTTAAGGTAATCAGGATCACACACTGTATCATAATTCATTTGAAAAGAGAAATTGTATTGAGCTGTAGGCAAGGAACTGGACAAGATGATTTAATTAGATTTTACTTTCCTCCAATTTCAATTAACTACAACAGCCTGTTTTGGGTTCTGACAGCTTCTACAGTATACCATATAAGGAAGGATGATTAGTTAAGACACTTAGCAATACAAAAAGGCATGTTTCACTTTTACGATGCAAAAAAGTAATTTTTTTCTATTGATTTTTTTCTGGAGTTTTCAGCAGGCTTATTTCAACTACATAAGGTGTTTCTCCTGTCCTCCTGTGGATAAATTATTTTATTTAAAGCAAATTCTATCTTTATCAAGTCCTTTAATAATCCATTTATTTCATTCAATATATGATATTTATACCTCTTCAACAAGCACTTTATTACCCAAAAAATCTTTATAAAAGGCTGTACACACAGAGAAACACTATAGGATTACAAGATTTGTCTGCCACGGGATCATATTATATTAAAACCACTGACATAACAGGAAAAAAAGCCTGGACAAAATACTGGAAACTGAACTTAGTTATGAAAATAAGAATCCTTAAAAATTATTTTCTATAGGAGCACAGATTATATCTCTTATTCAGTAACATTATAAGCTAAAATAGCTGTCCTTTAATTTAACCAGAAGATCGTGTACAAGTGTTTTAAAAACATGTTTAAAATAATTTAGTTTTAAATGCCGCATTGCAGCAATTCCTTCTTAAAAACTGTTGATTTTGAATCAGGATTTAGTAAAATGAACAAAACAAACCAAGACATGACTTTACCTAAAGATTTTCAAATTTCACTCTCCCAGCTATCCCTTATAAATTTTCAAACAGCCTTAAAATTTTTCATTAAAAAAATTGAGGCCTCAGAGTAATCAATGACTTTGTATATCAAAAGACCAGTTATTGAAAATATGAACTAAACATGGCCCCTTTAGGGCCATGTGACTTCGTTGTATTTCTGCTTAAACTTAAAAAAGAAAAAAAAAAGACTAAAAACGCTTACCAGTTTACCTAAAGGCCGAGTGTGTATTACAGATTCACAATTCAATCACCTATCCTTTATTTCTATTATCATTTAAATTTATTTACATTGTTAAGAAACTTAAATAAGGAACTTTTAAGAACTTTATCCAAAGGAAATAACCTAGTATACAAGTGTGCTTCCTGTGGTAATTAATTTTTTTCTTTTAACTCCTCATATGTCGTATTTGGGCAGAAAGTTGCTTTCTCAACATAGTTTGTGAATCCTAAATCTTATCATTCCAACAAATGAATCTTGATAATACTTATAGATTTGTTTGAACACCCACGCAAATCTGCAAAAAATAATACATTCTTAATACAAGTCTAAAAGGAAAATTGTTTTGTGTCAATTACTGCCATAGCTCAATAATCACAAAAATTCTATGAGAAACTAGTATCCAGTTTGCCAACTAACCCAGCCCTTGCAAGCTTCCTGATTCCACGTCAGAGAGCATTCTAAAAGAAAAGGTGACTACTTCTGTGCTTCTTAGTGGTAACACGTCATTTATAGTTTCTCCCAAGAACTTGTTAACAAAAAACCAGCCCCACAGTCTTCACACAGTAGCTGGCAGTTGTTCGTATGCAATTTAATGACTTGTTGCCAAAAGCCTACCCAGCAACAAAGAGCTGTAACATTCATTTTTCTAAAGCTGAACTTTGCAAACTGTCACATAAAAACTTTTAAAGAACTTCAGTCTTGTCTTATAGATCAATGCTTTTAATTATCAAAGTCCCTTCTCCTGTGACCTTCTTTGTCCTATTTCCAAACTAAACTGTGCAAACAATATGCTAAATATGGAATGCCATGGGAGAAAAAAAAAATTAACATTTAGATTTTGTACCAGGATAGCCATGTAGAAAAAAGCTCTGCCACAATGGCATTACCAAGAAATATAAATTTAATTTTTAGTCACAATTCAGTATTCTGTAGGCAGTGTCCTACAACCCATTTTAATCTTGAACTAGGAATGCAAAATATTTTCAGAGACCTTTCAATACCAGATATCAAACCTCAAAAAAAAAAAAAAAACAATAAAAATAAAAAATAAACCTTACATCTGGGTTTCCCTGACAACAATCAGCCAACTCTGGTTATGTTTTATACTCCAAAGGACACTATTTCTCCATCCTCGAGATTATCAAAATCAATTTCTCTTCAAGATAGAACTAGGGATCGAATACTAAACAAGAAATCCAGTTAACTGATCAAATTTTATTTTTTTTAAAAGCCTGGTTTATGATACTTTGATACACACACAATAAGTTAACACTCTTCGCTATACTGTTACCCCATAAAACCCACTAAGAGATTATAATTCTGGGCACTTACTTGACCCAATCTGAGTTGGCTAGATCTGCTAGAAACCTGAACAAAACTGCTCACTCCCATTTCACAAGAAAACTCAGGTCTTTTAACAGTCCTCGATTCGCCGCTTGTAGTACTTCACAGAAGGTTCATTCATCACTCAAAGGGCAGGTGGGTGAACTCAGGATATTCATGCATATCTGTAGTTGTTTGATAATTTTCCTCCTCCCGAGAGGCAAATACAGTCCATAAGTAGCTGATCTTTCATTTCCATACAACTAAGTATCTTTACTATTCAAGGTACAGGAAAGCCGATCATTAAAGCTCAGCATTCCTAGCTGAACTTCCATCTTGCACGTGTTACAAATAGTAAACTTGGAGGTAGTCCAGAGCAACAGCAACAGTAACCGCGCACACACGCAAACACAGGCAAACGTGCACTCCACTCACTCCGCGGACGGTTCCCGCAGCGCCCCAGGTGGGGGAGTGTCCAGACCGGGACCGGGAGCCTCCCTTCTCCCGGCACTTGGGGCCGGGGTGGGGGCGATCCAGGGGCACCTCCCTCCCCACCGCCCTCTGAACCGGCAAATGCTGCCGGGGGGGCGGGCTGCGGATACCCCTGTCCGCTCTCCGTGTCACACCCCGCCACCCACTCTTTGAACCCCGCGTCCGGCCAGGCCCAGAGGAGCTGGACGGAGGGGCGGGCCGGGGGCACTCACCGCGATCATGACCGTGTCTTCTCCCTGAAACTTGGCGATGTACTTATCGCCGCGGTTGACCTCAGACTCGTTGAGCGGTCTGAAGCGACACATCACTTTGATGTTGCACTCGGCCGGGTCCGCCATCTTCCTCACTGCCGGGGCGGGAGGCCGGGAGCCACTCCCCGCCGCTCAGTCTGGAAGGGAGCGGGCCCGCGCTGACGGGAAGGGTCGCGGAGGCCGAGAGAGACCGGGGTCTCCGCGTCGTGCTTCGCCCGGCGGCAGCTGCCGGGGAGCCCGGACTGGGAGCGCCGGCGCCGGGAGCCGTCGCCCGGAGGCTCACTTCCGATCCATCATGGCAGCTATGGCGGCGGCGGCGGCGGCGGCGGCGCGGCGGGGAGAGTCGGCGGCTCCTCAGCCCTTCCCTCTCGGCCTGGGCCCGCTGCTGTGGCTCGAAGGGAGTCTAGAGCACGGGGAAATCGCCCTCTCCTTCCTCGGAGAAGGCAGGCCGGGCACGCCGTTCGCCCGCCCGGCAGTGCTCTCGCCGGCTCGCCGGCAGCTGCCCGACCACTCCTGAGGCCGTAGACCGGCGACCCGGCGGCGGGATGGGCGGTGCGCGAGGAGCAGGGCGCACGCGCGACGGTCGGGGCCGGTGCCGACCAATCCGCGCCCGTCTGCCGCGCAGCCGCCTTGCCGCCGCTCTCCGCCCTGAGCCGCCGACCCGAGTTTTACCCGCGGCTGCTGACGGACGTGACTTGGGCTCCACCGGCTGCGAGGTGTCGCGGAGCCAGGGCACACGCGCTTGGCTTTCCTTTCTACAGGGGTCACGGGATTTGTGAAAACTACCTTATGCTGTAGTCAACTTAAATGCAGTGCTGTATTCCTAATAAGGAGTGTTTGGTCTGCGGATGAAATTGGTTCCTAGTTTTTAGGGCGCTTTGCCAGAGAAGGGAAGATTTGAACTAGGGCGAGGCATGGCTCTGCGGTGGAAGCTGTCACTCCAAGTGCGAGGGAAGGGGATCAAGAAAGATAAAGGAGGTTTCTGTTAAGGAATGAAGAAGATTGAGCGCCTGGGTGGCTCAGCGGTTGGGCGTCTGCCTTTGTTTTGTATACATATTCTTTATTGGAGTTCAATTTGCCAACGTATAGTACAACACCCAGTGCTGATCCCGCCAAGTGCCCCCCTCAGTGCTGGTCACCCCCCCCTCCTCCCCTTCCACCACCCCTTGTTTGTTTCCCAGAGTTAGGAGTCTCGTGTTTTGTCATCCTCTCAAATTTTTCCCAATCATTTTCTCTCGTTTCCCCTTTAATCCCTTTCACTATATTTTATATTCCCCAAATTAGTGAAACCATATAATGATTGTCCTCCAATTGACTTACTTCGCTCAGCATAATACCCTCCAGTTCCATCCACGTGGAAGCAAATGGTGGGTATTTGTCATTTCTAATGGCTGAGGAATATTCCATTGTATCCATAAACCACATCTTCTTTATCCATTCATCTTTCGATGGACACCGAGGCTCCTTCCACAGTTTGGCTATTGTGGACATTGCTGCTAGAAACATCGGGGTGCAGGTGTCCTGGCGTTTCATTGCATCTGAATCTTTGGGGTAAATCCCCAGCAGTGCAATTGCCGGGGAATAGGGCAGATCTATTTTTAGCTCTTTGAGGAACCTCCACACAGTTTTCCAGAGTGGCTGCACCAGTTCACATTCCCACCAACACTGCAAAAGGGTTCCCCCTTTTTAAAGATTTTATTTATTTATTCATGAGAGACATATATATGGAGAGAGGCAGAGGGAGAAGCAGGCTTCATGCAGGGAGCCCCACGTGGGACCCGATCCAGGGTCTCCAGGATCACACCCAGGGCTGAAGGCCGCGCTAAACCGCTGAGCCGTCCGGACTGCCGCAGGGCTCCTCTTTTTGAACTTGGCGACAACAGCTTTTTGCAAGACATCTATGAAGGCAAGTGAAACAAAAGCAAAAATGAACTATTGGGACTTAAGATAAAAAGCTTCTGCACAGCAAAAGAAACAGTCAACAAAACTGAAAGACAACCTACAGAATGGGAGAAGATATTTGCAAATGACCTATCAGATAAAGGGCGAGTAACCAAGATCTATAAGGAGCTTATTAAACTCAACACCAAAGAAACAAACAATCCAATCATGAAATGGGCAAAAGACATGAAGAGAAATCTCACAGAGGAAGACACAGACATGGCCAACATGCACATGAGAAAATGCTCCGCATCACTTGCCATCAGGGAAATACAAATCAAAACCACAATGAGATACCACCTCCCACCAGTGAGAATGGGGAAAATTAACAAGGCAGGAAACCACAAATGTTGAAGGGGATGGGGAGAAAAGTGTCTGCCTTTGGCTCAGGTTGTGATCCCAGGGTCCCAGGATCGAGTCCCACTTCGGGCTCCCTGCATGGAGCCTGCTTCTCCCTCTGCCTGTGCCTTTGCCTCTGTGTGTCTCTCATGAATAAATAAATAAAATCTTAAAAAAAAAAGGAATGAAGATTACTGAACAAATGTGGAAAAGTAGGGTGAGCTGGGGGAAGGCCCCTGTCACTGGGAGGTGCCACTTGCCTGGTAATAAATGTGTGGGATTCATCCATCTCAACCCCAAAGGAATGACCGATCTGAGTTTAAGATGGTCTTAAAAGGCAGATCGATTTGTGGATGACATGTCTCAGGAAAACCACTCCACAGTTGAAGTGGTTTTTTAGGAAGGTGGATACCATAATGACTCTCAACTGGAGGTCACTCTGAGGTGCTGGGAAAGGAGAACTGCAGGGACAATCAGGAACCCTTCATCTGGTTCTCAATTTTAGTTTGCAAAATGAATGTATTCTAAAAACAAACAGTGCTCTCTGTCTTCACCCAATTATCCACATACCTCCAGAAATTAATCCATAGTCCACCAGTTACAGATTTGTTGATCCATTGCAACCAACAGCTCCCAACTGAGGAACTGTGGGGCATCTCACCAAACAAAGGAGAAGATGGAGTTACACACCTTTGGGGGGTGGGGGACTGTGGAGTTGGGGTAAAGTTTTTTTTTAATAATAAATATATTTTTCATTGGTGTTCAATTTGCCAACATACAGAATAACACCCACTGCTCATCCCATCAAGTGCCCCCCTCAGTGCCCGCCACCCAGTCACCCCCACCCTCCGCCCTCCTCCCCTTCCACCACCCCTAGTTCATTTCCCAGAGTTAGGAGTCTTCATGTTCTGTCTCCCTCTCTGATATTTCCTACCCATTTCTTCTCCCTTCCCCTCTATTTCCTTTTACTATTATTTATATTCCCCAAATGAATGAGACCATATAATGTTTGTCCTTCTCCGATTGACTTACTTCCCTCAGCATAATACCCTCCAGTTCCATCCACGTTGAAGCAAATGGTGGGTATTTGTCGTTTCTAATGGCTGAGTAATATTCCATTGGATACATAAACCACATCTTCTTTATCCATTCATCTTTCGATGGACACCGAGGCTCCTTCCACAGTTTGGCTATTGTGGACATGGCTGCTAGAAACATCCGGGTGCAGGTGTCCCGGCATTTCATTGCATCTGAATCTTTGGGGTAAATCCCCAGCAGTACAATTGCTGGGTCGTAGGGCAGGTCTATTTTTAACTCTTTGAGGAACCTCCACACAGTTTTCCAGAGTGGCTGCACCAGTTCACATTCCCACCAACAGTGTAAGAGGGTTCCCTTTTCTCCGCATCCTCTCCAACATTTGTTGTTTCCTGCCTTGTTAATTTTCCCCATTCTCACTGGTGGGAGGTGGTATCTCATTGTGGTTTTGATTTGTATTTCCCTAATGGCAAGTGATGCGGAGCATTTTCTCATGTGCATGTTGGCCATGTCTATGTCTTCCTCTGTGAGATTTCTCTTCATGTCTTTTGCCCATTTCATGATTGGATTGTTTGTTTCTTTGCTGTGGAGTTTAATAAGTTCTTTATAGATCTTGGAAACTAGCCCTTTATCTGACATGTCATTTGCAAATATCTTCTCCCATTCTGTAGGTTGTCTTTTAGTTTTGTTGACTGTATCCTTTGCTGTGCAAAAGCTTCTTTATCTTGATGAAGTCCCAATAGTTCATTTTTGCTTTTGTTTCTTTTGCCTTCCTGGATGGATCTTGCAAGAAGTTACTGTGGCCGAGTTCAGAAAGGGTGTTGCCTGTGTTCTCCTCTAGGATTTTGATGGAATCTTGTCTCACATTTAGATCTTTCATCCATTTTGAGTTTATCTTTGTGTATGGTGCAAGAGAGTGGTCTAGTTTCATTCTTCTGCATGTGGATGTCCAATTTTCCCAGCACCATTTATTGAAGAGACTGTCTTTCTTCCAGTGGATCGTCTTTCCTCCTTTATCGAATATTAGTTGACCATAAAGTTCAGGGTCCACTTCTGGGTTCTCTATTCTGTTCCATTGGTCTATGTGTCTGTTTTTGTGCCAGTACCACACTGTCTTGATGAACACAGCTTTGTAGTACAACCTGAAATCTGGCACTGTGATGCCCCCAGAATGGTTTTCTTTTTTAAAATTCCCCTGGTTATTCGGGGTCTTTTCTGATTCCACACAAATCTTAAAATAATTTGTTCCAACTCTCTGAAGAAAGTCCATGGTATTTTGATAGGGATTGCATTAAACGTGTAAATTGCCCTGGGTAACATTGACATTTTCACAATATTAATTATGCCAATCCATGAGCATGGAATATTTTTCCATCTCTTTGTGTCCTCAATTTCTTTCAGAAGTGTTCTATAGTTTTTAGGGTATAGATCCTTTACCTCTTTGGTTAGGTTTATTCCTAGGTATCTTATGCTTTTGGGTGCAATTGTAAATGGGATTGACTCCTTAATTTCTCTTTCTTCAGTCTCATTGTGAGTGTGTAGAAATGCCACTGACTTCTGGGCATTGATTTTGTATCCTGCCACACTGCCGAATTGCTGTATGAGTTCTAGCAATCTTGGGGTGGAGGCTTTTGGGTTTTCTATGTAGAGTATCATGTCATCGGCGAAGAGGGAGAGTTTCACTTCTTCTTTGCCAATGTGAATGCCTTTAATGTCTTTTTGTTGTCTGATTGCTGAGGCTAGGACTTCCAGTACTCTGTTGAATAGCAGTGGTGAGAGTGGACATCCCTGTCTTGTTCCTGATCTTAGGGGAAAGGCTCCCAGTGCTTCCCCATTGAGAATGATATTTGCTGTGGGCTTTTCGTAGATGGCTTTTAAGATGTTGAGGAATTTTCCCTCTATCCCTACACTCTGAAGAGTTTTGATCAGGAATGGATGCTGTATTTTGTCAAATGCTTTCTCTGCATCTATTGAGAGGATCATGATTCTTGGTTTTTCTCTTGCTGATATGATGAATCACATTGATTGTTTTACGAGTGTTGAACCAGCCTTGTGTCCCAGGGATAAATCCTACTTGGTCCTGGTGAATAATTTTCTTAATGTACTGTTGGATCCTATTGGCTAGTATCTTGTTGAGAATTTTTGCATCCATGTTCATCAGGGATATTGGTCTGTAATTCTCCTTTTTGGTGGGGTCTTTGTCTGGTTTTGGAATTAAGGTGATGCTGGCCTCATAGAACGAATTTGGAAGTACTCCATCTCTTTCTATCTTTCCAAACAGCTTTAGTAGAATAGGTATGGTTTCTTCTTTAAACGTTTGATAGAACTCCCCAGGGAAGCCATCTGGCCCTGGACTTTTGTGTCTTGGGAGGTTT